AAATTCCAGCGAAACGCAATTCACTGTTATACCCTAGCTTTGTCGCATTCTCGACACGAACGCGTAACTGCTACTGACAGCGATCCGCTGCACGACCTATACCACAAATTTGGCATGAGGCTTTACTCCTCCAGTCGAGAGCCATTTGCCATGGAGCCCTTCCAGCATTCAGATCAAGAACGATTCTTTATTGAAGACATGGGCGCCGGAACCTTCAAGAGGATTCTGCACGATCAAATGTCACAGTACAAAGTTTGGAAGTTTGCCGCTGGGTTGTTTCGAAAGGCGATGGCAAGGAAACCGCTTAACTGGAAGTGCGTAAACCCCCGATTCAATAGTAGAACTCGACGACTAACACGCAGTAGGAATCCGTACATGCTTGGAAAATGCCTTTGGAAAATGTATCAAACACCCCGGGATGGACTTGACAGCAGTGATCAAAAAAGCCCCATTACCATGGCGATGGTACTGGATACGCTCAAAACATCGATTGAGGTAGCGCAAAGTGCCAGGAAGAGTAAGAACAGCGACCCGATTCTAGAGCCGCATTATAAGTTGGTCTCTATCCTGCACAAACTCGTTGATCGTGGGGATATTCCCGCAGCAGAAGCCGCGTCGCTTCTGGCTGAACAGCCATTCGGCATTGTTGTAAATCCGAATGACCATTTCGCATCTTTCTCTGAACCGGAAGACTGGGAAGAGTACATTATCCGCAACTTGACTAAGCTTCGTGAAAAGGATAAGTCTAACTGGCAACATCGAATCGTCATGCGCCATGCCAAGATTCTCTTTGACGAGAGGCACATTGCAGCGGACAGCGACGGCACTGTAGAAGCCAAGGCCGCATTTGCCATTCTGAAGGAAAACATGTTCACTAAAACAATGGTAATGAATGTGTGGAAGTGTGACGCTGAGCGGCCTGGTCGTCACCACGTCTTTACTGAGCAATATGTTCGCTTCATGACAAAGCTTCTGGTTATCATGTCGGACCGAACAAATCTGGAACTTCTTTTGAGACGACTTCGCAAAAAGGGTGCGGACTTTTACCATTTTGCAGACTTATGGCAGTATAGCTGCACTGAGTACGTGAAGCTGTTGCGTGCAGCGTACAAGGTGCCAGTCACCACCGATGAAGCATTCAAGCACATGTCGAATGAAGAGTTTGAAATCATGAGCGAGAGAATCACCGATTGGTCTGGCGGTGATGGAGCTCCAAACACAGCCTTTGAATGCATGAAGGAGGCCATTGAAGTCAAGAAGCTCAATGGAAACCTAATGAAGGTCGCACCTATTGACGATCTCATCAATGATTGTTACACGACAATCTATGTGGACGTTGCCGGAACTCTTCCAGGACTGGAGCCAGGGAGAATCATAGAAGAACGCAACCACGCAAAGGAAGTCGCAGCTCAATTAGAGGCCGTGGCCCAAGTTGAGCAGAAGCCAAAGAGCTCACTCAGTAACCTGCTTAATCCACCAAGCGGAGGGGACAGCGCAGCTGGATCCGCTACGCCAATGGAGACTGATAAAGCAGAGGCTATTCCCCGCGCGAGAAGACTGGCCGGTGTGCGTCGGCCCGAGATTTTACGAAAGGCAGAGCAAGCTGTCGTGCGTGCTATGGAAGCACCAAAATCTGTTACAACTAAGAGTCGGGTTGGAAGCATGTCAAGCACGAAGCGTGGTAGTCAGACACCTGCTAGACATGGCAGCATGGCTCATAGTGACGATGAAGATGAAGGGCCAGATGCTCAGGTACGTCGAGAGGCTGGCGAAGATGTTGACGAAGAAATGGGTGAAGGAGAGGACAATGAAGAAGCAGTCGAGGACGAGGAACATGGTGACTCCCGATTGGAGGACAAGGATGAAGATGATCATCCTGGTAGTATCCATGATTCTGCCGATGACGAGAGTGATCTAAGTGACGTGCCGGAAGGGTATGATGACGATGTGCCTCCCGGACTCTTGTTCCCCAATCTTCGAAGATCTGAATCGAGTGGAGACGAAGCGGACAGCGAAGACGCCGAGGAAGATGAAGAGGAGCCCGACGACGACGACGACGACGAGGAGGAGGAGGGTGGCGATGAAATTGAAGTTGAGGAACTAGAGGCAGAAGAGGAGGAAGACGAAGGAGATGAGGGTGAGGAAATAGAAGTTGAACAGGAGGTGGATGAGGAAGATCCTGAGGAAGAGGAAGACGAGCAGGAAGAAGCCGAAGAGGAGGTAGAGGAAGAAGAGGAAGGCAATGAGGATACAGAAATGGCCGGTATAGAAGAGGTTGAGGGTGAGGTTGAAGAAGAGGATGATGATGAAGAGGAGGAGGGTGGCGAAGAAGTAGACGAGGAAGCCGAGGAGGAAGACGGCGATGCAGAAGAGGAAGAAGACGAGGAAGGGAATGATGAGGAGGAGGCTGAAGAAGGAGAAGAAGAAGAAGAGGAGGAGGCGGATGAAGAAGAGGAATAAGGCGGAGCATGCCTCGAATTGCGTTCGGAGGATATTGCACACAGGACAGGTGTGCGAACTTGTGATATGTATTTTTATATTCGGGACAAGCGGCGCTGCTAGGCTGGGAAATCTTGTATAATGAACTCATTTTGCGAATGCCCATTATTGGTCCAACGTACGTTTCTGGATTTTTTGACTTGCTCCCAAACTGCGAGATGGAATAACGCAGTGAGCGGTGTGTTTAGAACCCAGGATCGCGAGAACTCGTAGCCTAGTAAATGGCAGGGGCTGGATGCCTTTGTGAACTGGCAGCGTGCCGTATCGTCGGGGATGATACTAGGTTATGTAAATTTTACTGGAGTCGTCGAGTCAGGACGTGAATCTTTGCCAGCTTTGTTGAACAGGCCAAACGGCCTGGAAACCAAGGACATGCCTCACTGAATGTCTGGTCTTGGATTCACCGGCGCTCTACCTACCAGGCTTCCCTTGAACCCAACTTGAGAAGAAATAAAACGATTTCTTATTCTTAAAATGAAGGTCATTCTAAGGTTGAAAGAATATGCAGTTGGAACTTTATTTGCCATGGATCAGCGCACCGCCGGGATCCCTGAAGCTGCTGCTTATTGTATGCACCCACGCACTGAATGGGCCATACATTATTTTTACTGCGCATGGGAGCAATGTGTTAAACTATGGTATTACGTGGCTAGCCATTCTAACCCTCTTCTTTGTCCATATCGTCGCGATGCCTCTTGCCAGTGCCCTTGGTTCCCTTGCCCCTCCTGTCCTTTTTCTCGGACAGGCTCTTCATTTCGATTCTCGCCTCCCTTTGCGCCTCTTCGACGCGGTGCTGGAACGCCAGGACCTCCTCCTTCTCGGTGGGGTAAATGTCCAGCTTCTTGCCCAGCGCGGCCTCGATGCGCTGGAATATTTCGATGTCGTACTGCGTCACCAAGCTGATTGCGATACCAGACTTGCCCGCTCGCGCCGTTCGGCCCACTCTGTGGATGTAGGTTTTCGAGTCCTGCGGCAGGTCGTAATTGAGGACGACGTCGACTTTGGAGATGTCCAGACCACGGGCTGCAACATCGGTGGCAACGAGGATGTCGCGGGTTCCGGAGCGGAATTTGTTGAGGGCGCCGAGGCGAGCAGATTGCGAGAGCTGGCCGTGCAGAGGAATGGCGCCGAATCCGAGAGTTCGGAGCAGGATTGCGATTCTTTGGGTTTCCCACACGGTGCGTGTGAAGACGATGGTGGACTTGCCGGTGAATTCGTTGACTAGGTAGATGAGATACGTGTCCTTGCGCTTCTGTGGGACGACGAGCAGGTTCTGCAGAAGCGTTGACACAGTTTGGTACTTGTTGCTGCTGACGCTGACGCGAACGGGGTCTCGCAAACTGGCCCGTTGCAGGCTTTCGACTTTGGAACTGAGTGTCGCGGAGAAGAGGTAGGTCCGTCGTTCGCGCGGGATGAATTTGAGCAGCTTGTCAATCGCGGGACCAAAGTCCATGTCTAGTAGACGGTCGGCTTCGTCCATAACCAGGTACTTCAGTGTGCGTAGGGAGAATCCCTTTGTCTTTTCGAGGTGATCCACCAGTCGTCCGGGGGTGGCGACGATGATGTGCGGCTTCTTTCCGAGCGCAACGGCTTGGGGGACCATGTCTAAACCGCCAACAATAACGGCACATCGTAGTGATATTGATGACCCTAGAGCTTCGAATGCTTGCCCAATTTGATGCGCCAGTTCTCGAGTCGGGGCGAGGACGAGGCCGAATAATGGCTGAGGTTTGTCGAGGAGAGCTTGCAGGATAGGAAGCGCAAATGCAGCCGTCTTTCCGCTACCAGTTTCGGCGAGACCAATAATATCACGATCCTGCAAGGCGATGGGGATGGACTTTTCTTGGATGGGGGTCGGGAATTTGTAGTTGAGAGATTCACAGGCTTCGCATAACGAGTCGACGATTCCCTAGATTGGTGAGCATTGACGAGAGCAGAGGCCTAGGACAGGGGCATCCTCTATGCTTACCAGCTCTTTGAAAGTCTTGGGTTGAGTATCGGATTCCTCTACAACAGCTTCATCAAGAGTTGCTGATTCTTCTTGATCACTTGAGGCCTCGGATTCTGAAGACGGAGCTCGTGGGGGACTGCTCATGGGCACATGGCGGTTTTTCTGAGCGCCATGAGCAACCTTTCTCCTTTTGATATCGCCCATGGCTGTCAAAAGTTCTTGTGACCACCAGAGACAAAGCGGAGGTACCAGGGCCGCTCGATCAATCGGCAAAAGAATTGACTGTTGAATAATGTGATGGGTTGGTTTACAGAGGACAGCCTCTGGCCATGCCCATTTTTTGTGTGACAGGGTAGACGGGAAAATTTCAGCGGGGCCATGCTTATCGTGCATGTGGATTGGCCCAAAGGGGACAATTCGCTCCTTATCGTCAGTTTCCCCACTCAATTTTTTCTTGTCTGCGAAACCTTCATTTCCATCATGAATCATATATTGCAGCCTCAGCTTGTACTGACCAAACCTCCCAGTCCTCAGTCACAAGCCAACAATCATGGCGCGAAGACGAACAAAGAAGAGAACGCACGTCGGTGCCAACAATCCGGAGACAGCCGCAGCCGGCCATGCCACTGCCCGCGACCCCAAGAGCATGGTCATCAGGATCGGCGCGGGTGAGGTCGGTCCCAGCATCAGCCAGTTGGCCGCCGATGTGCGCAAAGTCATGGAACCCGGTACGGCCAGTCGGTTGAAGGAGCGAAGGGGGAACAAGTTGAAGGACTACGTTGTCATGTGCGGGCCCCTTGGTGTTACTCATCTGATGCTGTTTTCCCGCTCAGAGACGGGCAACACGAACTTGAGGATGGCGCTTGCGCCGCGAGGTCCGACAATGCATTTCCGCGTTGAAAAGTATTCGCTTTGCAGAGATGTTCAGAGGGTTCAGAAACACCCCAGAGGTGGTGGGAAAGAATTCTTGACGCCCCCGCTGGTACGTTCAGTTACTCGTATTCCCGTGCGCGGAATGCAAAAATGGCTAACTTGGGGTAAAAAATTTGTATAGCTTGTCATGAACAACTTCACCACGCCAGGTGCCGACTCCAAGTCCAAGGTCCCCAAACACCTCGAATCTCTCGCCACCACCGTCTTCCAATCCCTCTTCCCCCCCATTAATCCCCAACAGACCCCCCTCAAGACAATCCGACGCGTCCTCCTCCTGAATCGCGAAAAGTCCGAGGAAGATGACGGGACCTTCATCGTGAATTTCAGACACTACGCCATTACCACAAAGTCTACCACCGTGTCGAAACCTCTGCGACGAATCAAGGCAGCTGAAAAGTTAATGACAACCAAGTCAAGCAGGCAGGGACGCATGCCCAACCTCGGCAAGCTCGAAGACATTGCCGACTACATGATTGGGGGTGAAACAGGGGACGGATACATGACGGACGCTACCAGTGGCAGCGAGATTGACACGGACGCGGAAGTCGAAGTTGTCGACAACGCCCCCAGAAAAGTATTGTCAACAAAAGCCCGTCTGGCTGCCGAACAAGCCGGCCAAGAACCTGAAGAGGAAGTAGAAAACGTGGAGCGAAGAGCCGTCAAACTCGTCGAGCTGGGCCCTCGCATGCGCCTACGACTGACCAAGGTTGAAGAGGGACTGTGCGCCGGCAAGATCATGTGGCACGAGTACGTGCACAAGAGCCGCGAAGAGATTCGGGAACTTGAGAAGCGATGGGAGAAGAGAAGACAGGAGAAGGAGGCCCGCCGAAAAGAGCAAAAGGCCAATGTGGAGAGGAAAAAGGCCGAAAAGGAGGCCAGGAAGAAGAAATCAGGCGATGGGGACGGCGAGGAAGAGGAAGAAGACGAGGACGAGAATTACAGCGACGTGGACTTTGACGACTTTGACAGCGAGGGCTTGGCGGGCGATGCCGAGTTCAAGGCGAATGAGCAAATGGAGGAGGATGGGGCGTGGGAGGACGAGAGGGAAGAAATCGGGCGCGACTAATTGTGTACATATACGTATCTAGCTGCATGATCATCTCATTTCCACAGTCTTGGTTGCAAGACTCGACCCGACTCTGCTCGCCGTGACTGCTAATCACACCATCTCTCGCAGCACCTACCCCAGGGAAATCTCTACACCAAGCTGCGCAGCGCACTCGTCGATGCTTGCATCCCGAAGGCGGCGATACAAATCATCCGCGTCGCCCAGCCCAACACCAAGCGCGGCCTGCAGGCCCTCGACATCCATCTCGGCATCCAACGCCCGCGCCGGCCCGGCACCCAGATTCGACTGGAAGATACCCGCGGCGGACAGGGGCAAAAAGTCCTCGTACGTAATCGGGCTCGCTTCCACGACGCCCAGCCGCACAAGCTCGTCGACCGTGTACGCCGCGCGTTCCACCGCCGGCCGCCTGCCCCTGACGCGGTACGCAAAGTACACCAGGTCCTGCGCCCTCAGGTCCTCCCACGTATCGGGGTACCTGGCAAACACCCTCGCCGCCGCGTCGTCCAGCGCCTCCGGGGACGCTCGCGCACCCGCCGCGGCCATGGCCTCGTCCAGCAGCGCGTCGTACAGCCTTCGCCCGCGGGGGGTGACGGCCGCGCCGCGCTCCTCGACCTCGCCGAACCTCGCTCTGTGCGAGGCCCCCGCACCCCCGTTGTCGGCGGCGAACCGGACCGGCTCCCCGACGGCCAGGAAGCTCGTCTGGCGCAGCAGGATGGGGCATCTCCTCGCCGGGGGGCCCTCGATCCGGGCCTTGACCTCCAGGCCCGCCCGCCTCATGGCCTCGTGGGCGGCGGCAATGTCCAGCGTCCGGGGCGTCAGGTGGTTCACGTGGGCGGACGGAAAGCACGCCACGTCGGCGAGGACGGGGTGCGCCGCCCTGAGCGCCGTGTAGTCGTGGGGGGGGGCGGCCGCGGTGCCGTGCCACCTGAATGACTCCATGGCGGCGGCGACGAAGCGCGTGCCCTGGGCGGGTGTGAGGCGGCCGTTTTGCGAATCCGCCCCGTCGAGGAGGGACGTGAGTTCTGGGGTGAAGATGTTTCGGCTGGCGAGGAGGTCTAGGGCGAGGTCCGAGGCGGCGGCGTCCTTGATGAGCTCTGGTCGGAGGACCGAGACGAATAGTCTGAAGGGGTTTTTGGCGAGGGATTCTCTTGTTTTTGGTCGGAAACAGGTGGCGTGCATGGGGAGCCCGGCGGCCGTGAGGTCGTAGTAGCCGACGGGGTGGAGGCCGATGATGGCCAAGATGCGTCTGACGGTGTGTAGCTCGCGGGCGGTGCCGAGACGAATTGCGCCGTGGCGCTCAATGTCGATCCTGGGCGAGGGGCCGAGGGCGTCGCCATAGCGCATTGAGAGTGTTTTTGGATCGAGGCGTGACTGTAGCGTTTTCTCGTTGACGTCGGAGACGATGCGGACGAGGTCGCCGTAGAGGGGGACTTCGGATTTGTACATGGACGACATGGCCAGGGTGAAGCATGTTCGAAGGTCGTCCGGGTCCACGAAGGAGTCTTGGATAGCATTGGCGGGCATGATTACGGGTGCTTGTGTTTATGCGGCTGGGGTTTGTTGCTCATGCAAGGCGGCGGTGGTATCAGTTTGTGTTTTGTATGCGAGTTGGTCCATTGGTTCAGTTATCTGGATGACAGGTGGAGGCACTTGGAGATGGATCCCAGCCTCTTTATATGCGGACGTAGCCGATGATAAACACGACATGTCGGCTAGTGATGTATGAAGTACGCGACAGCTTACAAGCACGCCGGTTTCGGGTGCCGGCTCGTCGCCGATGGGATGTGGAGAAGTGATACGGAGCACACAGGCAAATGTCGACACCAAGGTGTCCAGAGATGAGTTTCGGGGAGATGAAGACAATGTAGACGGGTGTTGTGCACGGATCGTCCCGATTGAGAAAGAGATGGTGGTGACGACATGTTGGGCTTATTCTCATTCTTTCGGAGCCATCGTCGAAACCAGTGATGGACAGAACGGAGATTTCCCGTCTTTTACATGCAGCGCTTGTGCGAACGGACAAGGGCCGCGCCGCTAAGCCCTCGCCTCCTTGACTTAGGCTAGTGTGATCTAATGAGGTCAATACACGGAGCACCATCGATTGGCCGCGTCACAAGCCGGTGGTCTGCGGACACCAAGATTGTCACGACACCGGCGGTATCGGGGCCGGATGGATCCGTGATTCGTCGGACCCCCGGAATGGGGGCTGCTTCTTGCGCCGGGGTGTTTTTGCAGGCCCGAAGTGAAGCCCAGGTGTGTGTTTTTCTAGCAGTTCAATCACCTTTGCCGCGATATACTTGACTAAGGTCCAAATGGTGGCATGGCCTACGCAGCTGGTATGTTTTGCATTTTCCATCCAAACAATCCGATGAAGAGATTCTATAACCACTTGTTACATGCGGCAGGTGGGTCTGCGTCCCGTCCCCACCATCAATTGATCATGAGCCACGGCCGGCTCGGAGGGCGCATCTTCCCCTCGCGTCAGCAAACACGGATGCTCTACACGGCTTCCGTCAACATGCAGTGAGGACGCACTACTCTGCCGTGCCAGTTACTTGGAAACACCACACCTTACCCATGTGTTTTTCTCCCTGTCGTGCATTCTTCACAACACCAGCCAACCATGGCACCTACAACCAGAAAGCCTCGGCTGGTCATCATGGGGTCCAGAGAGTACCACATCCAAGACTTTGTCGCCGACTACCAGCACGAGTTTGAGTATTCCGTACACCGTGTCCCTTGTTCGAACAGAGCCAAGACAAGACTACACGTCCTAACATGCGCAGGTCCTCGACGCTCAAAACCGCCAGGAAGCCCTCACCAAACTACCGCAGGACGTGGCGCAGAACGGCCCGATAGACGCCTTCATCATCCGCGTGGGGACCAGCGAGTTCGAGCCGTTTGACGAGGAGCTCCTGGGCCCGCTGGCGCCCAGCTGCAAGATCATCGCGTCGGCGTCGGCGGGCCACGACGAGTTCGACGTCGACTGGATGACGCGCAGCGGCATGTGGTTCTGCAACACGCGCGACGCCGTGGCCGAGGCGACGGCCGACATGGCCATGTTCCTGACGCTGGCGGTGCTCCGGGACGCGCACCGCGCCGAGCGAGGCGCCCGGTCGGGCTCGTGGAAGGCCGGCCTCGTGCCCGCACGCGACCCGTCCGGCTCGACCCTGGGCATCGTCGGCATGGGCACCATCGGCAAGCACCTCGCCCGCAAGGCGGCGGCCTTCAACATGCCCGTGCGGTACTACAACCGCCGGCGGCTGGCGCCCGCCGAGGAGGCCAGGCACGCCGCGACCTACTGTCCCACGCTCGAGCGGCTCCTGTCCGAGTCGGACGTGGTGTCCGTCAACTGTCCGCTGACCGAGGCCACGACGAATCTCATTTCCCACAGGGAGGTCGGGCTGATGAGGGACGGCGCCTTTCTGGTCAACACGGCGCGTGGTGCCATTGTGGACGAGGAGGCGCTCATCCAGGGGCTGGAGAGCGGCAAGATCACGCGCGCGGGGCTGGATGTGTTTGTCAACGAGCCGGACATCAATGACTACTTTAGGACCAGCGACAGGGTCATTTGCCAGCCGCACATGGGGGCCGTGACGACGGAGGCGTTTCGGAGGGGAGAGAGGGAGTGTTTGGAGAACCTGCGGGCCTTTTTTCGGACAGGGAGGCCGCTGGCGCCTGTGAATGAGATTGCCGCCGCCGCTGCCAAGTAGATGCAGTCGGTGTCGCCGAATGGGGTGCTGCTCGTGTATGTAGTCTTGTTGGTAAATGAGGCTGAAATCGCGAGTCGTTGATGGGGTTGATGAATCTCGGGACGGTCCCGCATCCCCACTTTCGCCAATCTCGCCAACGAGCCGATGCGATGCGGGCCAACGATTGGCCAATTGGCGCGAGCCTTGCAACTCGCGCGTGTGTAGACTCTAGACTCTAGACTCTAGCCTTCCAGAGCTTCTTGCTCCCGTCCCGTCCCGTCCCGGTCTGCACCTCGCATCCAACCTCGATCCCGCCAGCGCCGAGATTGTCCCTGCGACAGCGTGTGGAAATGGAAAGCCTCGGGCCCCTGATCAGCTGGGCACGCACCCGGGGCGTCGAGCTCGACGGCATCGCGCCGCAGCAGATGCCCGGCCGTGGAATCGGCGCCGTGGCAACGCGGTCAATCAAGGTTCCGTCTGCGCACACCGTCAAGCCTCCCAGCGCGGCCGTCTAATCCGCTTCCCACAGGCAGGCCAGGTGCTCATGACGATTCCCGCCGGGGCCATCCTCAGGCTCGACTCGGTGCCCGCCTCCATCTCCTCCAGACTGCCGTCGGCGTCCATCCACGGCCTGCTGGCCGCACAGCTCGCGGCCGGCTGCGACGCCGAGACGGCCCTCCGCAGAGACGCCATGCCCTCGCTGCAGAGCTTCGCCGCGACGACGCCCCTCTTCTGGCCCCGCCGGCTCCGGGACCTGCTGCCCGCGGGGGCGCGGAGGCTCGTGGCCCGGCAGGAGACGGCGCTGGAGCGCGACTGGGCCGCCTTCCACGAGGGCTTCCCCGGCGTCGCGCGGGACGCCTACCTGCGCTGCTGGTTCCTCGTCGGCACGCGGGCCTTTTACCACGAGACCGACGCCACGCTGGGGTACCCGTGGGAGGACCGGCTCGCGCTGCTGCCCGTGGCCGACATGTTCAACCACGCGGGCGTGCCGGGGTGCGCCGTGGCCTTCTCGCCCGAGGCGTACACGGTGACGGCGACGCGGGCCTGCGCGAGGGGCAACGAGGTCTTCCTCTCCTACGGCGAGCACTCCAACGACTTCTTGCTGGCCGAGTACGGGTTCCTGCTCGACGACAACCCGTGGGACACGGTTGATCTCGGCGCCTTTGTCCTGTCGGGGCTGGACGCGGAGCAGCAGGCAGAGCTTCGGGCCCGGGGCTTTGACGAGTGTGTTGTAGGGCCGGGCGAGCAGTGGCATCTGCCCGACGGCGCGCTGGATATCCTGGGGCGTCACTTTGCCTGCGAACC